TCTTTGTAAACTAATTCTTCCTTCAGGCACGTGTGCAGAGTGGTATTCAACTCTTCTCAGGATTCACTACTTCCCTTGTGTCTGATGTGCCAGGATTAGATCCTGTTCAAGTATGTATATCGCTCCTCAATTCCTCAACGAGTTTTCCGTAGGACTCACCGAACAATATGATCATATCATACGTTCATACCACCGATCTGCTCAGAACTCCAATTCTTTTGCAATCAAGCTTATATGATGCGTACACCGGTAAACCTTGCTCTCGGTTTCGTTCTATCTTCCGCTTTTAGGCAATTTCTTCAACGCTGCACGTTACCAATTCCGTGCTGATTGTAGCTATCCCTGGGTTTCTCAAACATTCACTTGTCCCGATAACTCCGAAATGAACGAAATGGCTATCATGGTATGTCATCTAATGATTCTACGGTTCTCGATTTGTATTCTTAGCATTATGGAGAAGATGCCTCTGGATATGCCTTCCAGCGTGTAACTTTCGCTCATTGCAATAAGCAAGGTAAGTCTACTAATAACGAAAGGGCTTAAAGCTCAGTTATTCAGTTTTGACTTGTGGAAACGGAGGAATTCGTAGCAATGGTACGTGTGTCTGTGATGAATATTGGCAAGGTGAATTTGGTTTTCTCATGAAATTAGCTAACTGCCTCTGTGTTAGGTAAATTCTGTACTATCCCGATTTGTGTGAATAATGGAACTCTGGATCCAACCGAGCAGTTTTGTGAATGCCCTACTGGATACTTTGGAAGCAACTGCCAATATGGTTTCACTGTTCTATCTCCAGTTTTTTAAACTCTGTTTCAGATGGTTGTACTAGACGTAATCCCTACTTCTTCGATACTAGTAAGAAGACCCTAGCAATTCTTGTTGAAGCTACTATGAACAACAAGAACAATCTCGATCAGGTTTGAAGACTTAGAAGAGAATATCGAAAAGAAACTCTAAAAACTTTAAGCTATCTCAAAACTTGACCGCTATGATTGCTACTGCTACTGCCCAAAAGACTGATTGGTTCGGAAATTACATTCTTGTAGCTTTCAACAGTAAGTCTCGTAATTTTATGTTTTCATATAAATCACTCCTTTAGGCTTCCAAGTAACTACCGCAATCTACAACTTACCAAGTGTTGCCGCAATGCAGCAAGCAATCAGAGCTATCAACGTTGCTGGCTTGAGTGACGATGGCAATTGCGCTACGAATATCTTTGAGTCAGTTTTCATTTTCAAAAACTTAAGTGCCGTTAAGCGGTCGTTCTTGTTACTTGTACACGAAAATATGTACGGAGCGGTTGCACTTATTTGATTTTTTTTGTACAAAAGTACATCTCGCTCATTCTAGTGCAATTGATAAGGTTTTGATGCAAAGTGATAGAATTGTTTTCCCTGATTCTCAAGTCATCATTTTCACTGCTTCTACTGCTGGCGATTATTTGAACCGTGGAGATACTGTTGCCCACTTTGGCGCAACTGAAGCCCAGGTATTTTTGTTTGCCTGAATACATTCATAGTTATTTTTTTTAAGCTTACCTGGGTATATGATACTAACTCTAAATGTGGTATAGCTCCAGCCCAAACTGACGCCTCTGCCTCTCATCTTGTTCGCTTATGTTATGCTACTGATGGTAATGCTCTGTTCGTCAACTCCGCACTTTTATCACAGGTGACAATCCAAGTATTCATTTGAAAATTTTTGTTCAGTTCTTTGGCACGTACTTAGCTTCACGATTCTACGTTGCAACTCTTACAAACCCCACTTATAAAACAAACTTTAAGTGTGATAACGCACCGTGGTACATACAGGTATGAGTCTCTAACTATCCTTCCTGGATTTCCTATTTGAAATCAAGGTTGAAACATCGATGTCTTCTGTATACATTACAACATCCAACTATATTGGTTCTATTACCGCCGTGACAGATCCTCAAGGAAGTAAGAGAACAGTTAATGAGTTTCTTATCTAATTAATTATTTTCAGTAATGTTAAACACAGACCTTATTTACTCTGATTCCTTCACCAAGTTCTCTATGTTCAAACCGTCTGTTCCTGGAATATACACTCTTAATGTAAAAGATTTTGAATTTTTTCATCTCGTATGTTCCTATTCAGTTGGCATCTCCTGGAACCTGCTATGCATCTGTTTATTCCAATACCGGCGCTAAAGTATATCAGTATTTCGCTCCCACAACTGCTTCAGATCCTATTGGTGCTCATCTTGATGGATCTCAGAAGACTCCAAACGCTGGACGTAAATGAATATTTCTAACTTTCTGTTCCTAACTCACCATTGCAGAATCTACAATCGCCACATTCCATACACCAAACCGAGGAACAGATCTTTTGAAATATGTTCAGATCATTGACTTGGTCACGAATATGGTAAAACAACAATCATTCACAACTTTACCTCAAATTATTTTTAGCCTGTTCTCTCATCTGCCTTGTATCTGAGACAGGGATGCTCCTTTGAATACTATTCCGACCCATTCGTTTGCCAATCTGATATGATTGCTGTGATCGTTTACGGCCAAGATAGAACCTATGCTCAATTCAAAAGACAATTGGTTGCATTCTGCGTTAACGGAACTTTACCAAGTTAGTACTACTTCTGAGAACAAATTTTAAGAACTACACTTTTAGCCAATCCACCTATTACTGCTGGACCCCCAGTTACCGTTAAAACTAGCTTGGCACCCGCTGCCACAACCC